TTAAGATTATTATGTAGACATAAATCTTGAGATTAAAGGTGAAATTGCTAGTCCATAACTGATGAAGACACGGTGAAATGTTAGGCATTAATGCAGAATATATCTGCTTTTCATTAAGTACTAAAGAGAATGCCTCCCCTGAGAATCTCGCAAGGAAGAGTCCCTCTGCCTTGTGCAGAAGGAAGACTGCAATGGTGGCTTGGCTCGTTCCCCCAGTGAAATAAGCTGAGGAGAAGCCTGCAGCAAGTGAAACTCCATTTTACTCACCTAGTCACTCTCCCAAGTGAAGAAATGCACTCAAAAGCTGCAGGGCTGTCACACAAATGCACTGTTTCACAGGAGCCATCACAAAGTAGTGACTGTTTCAGAGGTAGACCAAGGCAACAAACTCCCTTACCTGATCCATACTAAACCAGAAATCCAGACATACTTCAAGCCAACTTCACTGGCTCCTGCTGTACCTCAAGTTTCGATGTTCAAAATAACTTAAGAATCCCAAACTTGAAAGTAATAACAGGTTCATTTTGCTTACATCTTCAATTTCTGGCTTCTCGGTGTTCACATAGTTTGTGTAATTAGGTTTTCTAGTTCTTACAACAATAAATCACAATTCTTAAATTCATGACCCAGAAACAGATTGCTCGAAATCTCACTTTTCCATCCCAGGGGAACAGAGACTATTAGAGAAGAAATAATGCCTGTGTAACAGTCAGCAGGAATCTCGTACAAAATTAAAGTAGTACTGATAACATTTAAGTAGAAAGTGATCTTTTCAAAAAGTGGAATGATTGCATGACAGATCATGATTAAATAAACCATTTGCTAAATATTTTCAGCAAAGGAATATTTAGGTTTGAGCAAATATACCTTTGAATTTATGAATATGTGGATATACATCTGTGGCACACAAGCATTTAAGGCTGATTTCTGAAATTAGTAAGCCTTTTGGATTGCAGAGTCAATGGACATGCTGAGGATGATGAATGGAAGAGACATTATTCAAACCAGAGGTCTATTTTTCCAGCTGAGTTGCTGTGGAATTTGGAGGGGGGGAGGAAATCAAACTGCTAAATTAGAGCCGTTCTGAACTGTAATTTCAATAGCAGATGAGACAAAAGCATGATGAAAAACAGAATTTAGTTACTTTTGCTGTTTCTCTTTCAAAATGAACACTTGGAGATGTTTTTAACCAAATAATGCTGAGTTCTATAGCCGCAATGTAATGGGAAGCCCGATGCTCTGCCTAGCAAACCAGCAGCTTTTCAAAGCACCTTCTCACCGAAGGTGCCTGGGAGAAGCTGACTCAGATGTGATGAATGGGCTCAAGGGAGATGCACGCAGAATAGCAGCTGCTGCCTGAATTTTACACAAAGCCTGACTCGGTTCTGTAGAGGCCTGAAAATAAGAGTGGTTCAAACTCTGCATCCCCAAGGGTCAGATCTTCTTGCCCAGTGGGGCAAGAACCTGGAGAAACCTTAACAAGTCATCTCTGCCCATGGCTGTACACCTTTACAAGAGTGTAATGAGTTCCCGCTGCTCCCTGGTGTGGGGTCAGATTATTTTCTGCTGCTCCAGCTGCCCAACAAGACCACCGACTCAGGGCAGTCCTATGGACCACGCTGTGCATGAGGTCAGATCAAATAACTGCGAGTTCTTTCCTGACATGACAACCTTAACATTCAAAGAGAGGGAAGTTCGTGGTAATCCCAACTCCCACAGCCTCAAGGGGTCAGAAGAACCAGCAAGCCTAACAAAAGCAGTCACTGGAATAGCACTGCAGGATGCCGTAGTGTGACCTGTCCTGCCGAGGCAGCCACCCTGCCGGAACACCCAGCTCCTCTCCCAGGCAGCCGTGGAGGGCATCCGGCACCACATGGCTCGTGGGCACAGTGCTCTCACTGCCCCTCCGCTCATCTCCAAAGCTAGGAAAAAAGTTCCCATCCTTCACAAAGTGAGGATGAAGATTTAAATGTGCTGGAGAGACTCTTCTATGTGCAGGTAAAGCCACAATGAATACGGCTACCAGAAAGCAATCATTCCTTCAGGATCTTATATTCATTAAAACAAATATGCAGTACTAATAGTAATTTTATTGACAAGAAAGTAAGCAACAGTATGAAACCATTTATGCTTTGCCTGTACCTGCACAGCCCTAGGCAATCCTCAGCCACCAAGGAAATATGAACACAAACAGCTGCACTTGTTTCTCCAGCACTCTCTTCACGTTAGCACCTCCAAGAATCTGGTCGGCCCTTACAAGTAAGGCTGCTCAACAATGAGAAACTAATGACCTTCAATAAAATAACTGCTAAGACATGTTCACAAACACTAATGTGAATCTTTTTCTGTGCTTTTGACTCTGCAAATTAAATGCGGAAGAAATGTGTTTACACCAGAAGCAGTCACAGCTCTGCACAGCTCTCGCTTGCAGCTCCCCAGATTGGCTGTGAGGTTATGCAGCGTTCAGAAGAGCACATCGCCACAGGGGCTCTGCTTTGTGTCTCTTCCAGACGAGTGTGACAGATACAAACTAATTTCTGTGCCAACTTTCCTGTTAATGTAGTGCTGTCTAAAGTCAGTGCTGTTTATGACCCGCTCCAAATAAATAAATAAGTAAATAAAATCTACACTCAAGCAGCTAAGACAGAAATCTTCTTTATTCTACTGCTCCAAATTCCTGAAACCTCTGCGTTGGGTAACAGTGACCAAATGGAAAGCAGGGAAGCAATATGGTTTGATGTTATCTGAGCCTATCCATACGCATATACCATTCCCCTTCATCATCGTAAAAACACCACACAGAACATCACTACCTGAGTAAATCATTACCCTTGTGATTTCAGCTACTTTCCCACCGCCTATGTAAAAGGAGTTTAACTATCTGATGCCAAGACATCTCTTGCACCACTGTTCAGTGTAAATGCTCAAATTTGACATTTAAGATTACTCAAGGGGAGTGAACCACTCCTGGAGAAAAAGAAAAAAAAAAGGAACCAGACAAGTACTTCCCAAACCGAATAGCCTTGCTATGATGGAGTTAAGACTGTCAACACAAATTAAACTACAGCATTACTACCTTTCCAGAGCTTGTTAAAATAAAGACAGCATATGGCCATGGTGCCAAAGGAATAAAACCTTCAGCTTCTAGACTTATCTCTTTGCCTTACAGGAAATATCTACAGAAAGAGATATTTTAAAATACAGTACAAATTATTTAAGATAACAATTCAGCATTTCTATAATTTGCAGTTTGGTTTATTGAGTGTAAATTCAGACCGAACATGATCTTTTCAGCAGCCTATGCATCCTAAAACAGAACTGTATGAAGCTGTGTTCTTTGGTTCCACTCAAAAATTTCGTGACCATAAAGCTTCCACTTGGGAGAGGCAGCAGACAGCCTCAGTTTCTCTGATCTGTAGCACTTGAAAAAAGGTTTTGTATATTAACCAGCCACTGTTTAACAGCTGAAGACATACATATGCATACTTCCTCCACATCCTCTGATCTCTTCACTCCTAATGTTCAGGCCTTACACAATTTTCAAGAGGTATAGCATCAAATAAGAGGTATATACATCAAACACTACTTATTTCAAATTATATTCCACTAATGCATGCAATGATCTAGACAGTCCAACAACAGATAATCTCCCTTCAGGACTTGGTAACATTCAGGACCTAGCCTGCATTGATGCTGCCACAGCTTTTTAAACCACAGGAACAGACTAAAACAAGGGGCAAGCTGGAAGACTTCAGAACACGGATTAGAAAAAAAATAGTTGAACGACAGTTCTCCATACTCGTAGTTTGACTGAGGGACACAGCAGTTTAAGAAATGGAGGACAGAATAAAGGCACTGCCCTGAACCACTGAGCAGTCCCGCCTGCCCACCTAGAGACCCAGGCAGGCAGCTCCACATGCAGTCTGCCTGGGAGCTGAGGCGCAGGAGGGAACAGGCAAGCACCCCTAACGAGTGCTCATTGCAAAGCCCCAGCATTTCTTTGTTCAAATCTGTTTTGGATTGATTGACTTACTTCAATCACCAATTTAAAACTACATAGCTGCAAAGTTATGAGATAACTGGTCAAGACAAAGGGAACATTAAAGAATGCACATAATTACTTGCTCATCTACTAGCCTAAAATCATTTTGCCTTACACGAGCTAAAAGAAGCCACAGTCTGTTGGAATTACAGCTTGATTCCTAAACAAACAATCAAATGGAATATGAAACAAAACCTGTTGAAAACACCAGTCCATGAGCTCTGGGTATAGACTTCATTTTTCCCATGTTAATACTCAATTTTGATTTTCCGTTTTATTCTTACAGGAACATTCGTAGACAGCATGCTTTGTCATACCACAAACCTGACCCCAGTATTTTTAAGTTCCATCAGCAATATCAGCATCAGCAATATCAGCATGTGGTCTATCCCAACTGCGTCTAACTGGATTTCGAGTAAGTATGAAAATTTCATGAACAAATTGAAAGTGAGAGCAAAGCAGTAGTTTAAGATATCTTTTAAAGATACCGCTTTGCTAGACAGTATTACTCAGCCTAAAATTCATTATATTACTAATGCGGAATGAGTATGCAGCCTCAGGGAAAATGTTGACTTCTGGAGGAATGATTACACCTAGTTGTTTACATTGAGCTAAGAAGCTTATTTTGGTATGCTTGCTTTGAGTTATCTCCTCCGAATCTTAGCTCCCTAATGCCTGATTATCTGCCATGTATTGACTGTTGAGCTATTCATTAATCAGGATACTTCATGTTTCTCAACAGCTGACCAATGACACCGCACAACAGACCGTCTGTAAAGCTCTTGGCACTTAACATTAGTTTAATAACATAGAGATAACATCCTATTAACATCCAGGAACAAAGCAGGCAGAAACCTGTGCTATAGCATGCACTCCAAAAGCTGGAGGAAGACAGAGCTGAGCCAACACCGTCTGGAAAAATCTCACCAGTGCAAGGTCCAAAAGAGCGAAGGTTCAAGCAAGGTCCACTTAAAAGAAGCTCCATCATTCAGACAAAACCTCTGTGAGAACTAGAGCACAATAATAGGGTGGAAAGTATTTGGTTGTTATTAACAAACAAACCTTTTAAAACAAAGCAAAAAAAAAAAAAAAATCTGTGTAAACAGAACATTGCTTAAAAAAAAAAAAAAAAAAACTTTTCTGTAACCATAGCCATATCAGTATGCTATTGACTTTGACCTTATTGCTTCAGTTCTTATGCAAATTTAGGCCCGAGGAAGAAGTGTAAAATAATAACTATGATGAATAAAAAATGAATTACATAAAGATGGAGGCTAAGAAGGCTAAGAGGAGAAGAAGACGAAATCAAGTGTGATAAAAACACACGTAGATGGAGATCTGAGATGCCCCAGCCGTGCATGGAGGAGTGAGCCTGCCAGCCCAGCACCACCAGCGCCAGCCCAGCCTGTGGAGCCTCATGGGGCTGCTGGCCATGGGCATGTGGAGTGGGAAATGCAGACCACAGGGAGGATCCTGCAAGCCTACTTCTGCCTACCAGGTAGGGGATGCCTCATATGTGCCACCTGAACATTTATTTTTAGCATTAAAGCTCCATATATTAAATGCCAAAAAATGTCTGTTTATACTACAGCATATTTCACGGGTAAAAGGCAGCTCAAGTCAACCCAGTGGTCTCAAACTGCACTTACAACCACAATTTAAGGTTGCTTAATGCTATGCTAATTTCCAACTTTGGACTCTGTCCTACTTTCCAACAGCCTAATCAGAACCAGAGTGCTTCAGTGATCTGCAAGCTAAACCTTGACTGAAATGCAGCCTGAAAACCCCAGCACCACCTGGACGAACAGTAAAATGGTGAGTCTTTGTGTAGTGCATGTTTTGTCATTGTTCTTATTTGAACGGCTACTCCTGGCCTTCCCACAGACTAAAGATTGGGCTCTTAGAGCCTTTCCTTCACATTTTATTTCTTTCAGAGCTGCAATTATTGAAACCGATCTGTGACAAATGCTTTCACTACATAAACAATACACTTAATAGAAACGTTATTTTCATTAAATTGAAAAGCAGTTCTTAGCTGTTCCTTCTGTAAATCCTTATAAATAGGATTTTTGTCTTTATTCTTATATATTTTTATCTTTATTCTTATTTTACTGCTGACCAGGGGTATGGAATTTTTAAAAAGTCACATCAGGCATTAATTTGATGTACCTTTTGTAGCCAACCTGTCTTTTCCAAGGGTTAGTCTCAATCAGTGCTGCTTTATCAGTCTAACCACTGGTATAAAAAAGGCCAGAGCAATGTAACTATTTTCAATGGGAAATGTCATTTATTCCGGGTGAATTAGTGCTTAGAATGCCTATGCACTGGTTCTAGGCTCAGAATTATTCTGAGAAGTGTTGCTCTATCAGATACTTTTAGTAACCATTACAGACCTGGATTTGCAATAGCTGTTTATTAATTGAAGGTTCATTAAACAGAAGTTTGTGTTTCCAAGCACCTACAGAGCCCAGCTGGTTCCAGTTCTGCAGCAGAATTCCTGTGAGGCCTTTGGCAAAAGACTTGAGCTTCTCCAGCTCAAACTGCAGTCCCTTCAACATATCCACCACTACAACAGTGCCACTGTGCCCGCGAGCTCCATCTGCCATGACTCAGTGTCCTCAGCTACAGCACAGCCAGCCCCAGTACCTCTCATTGGATGTTATGAAGTGAAAATTAGCTACAACTGGAGCTCACTAAGGCCTTTAAAAATCATTTCTGACTCTAATAATAATAGTGCAAGCTAAGCAAATAGCTCTCAAACCACCTCTCTAGATGCTAAATAGGTTCCAGGAGGCTGTACTTTGCATGTGGGAAAATGAAGACAAGAACGAAGTGACTCGCCTCTCCGTGCAGACCAAATAACAGCAGAGACAAACCTGGACGTCGGCACCTGCTGACCTGCAGGCAGGCTGCGTTCTTACAGCTCAGCCCGCGTTGTGGCCCAGTCAGTGACAAAAGCACTTCAGGAGGTGCACCCGGTAGTTTTTTCATGTGCAAAAACAGACTGCAAGAGAATCTGCAGCCTTTGCCAGTGATTAACTGCAGCCAAATAAGATGCTCTGAATATTAACAAGACTGAAAATACTGCTAGGATTTGACCAAGAACTTCCAAGAAATAGTCTCAGAATATGACCAGCACCAAAGACTTAAGATGCATCTGCAGACTACATACAAATATCGCTTCCTGTGTAAATAACCCCACTGATCTGCAACCAGCTTCTCTCGGCACAGCCCATCACAGGATAGTGTCCTTTGGCAAGCTCCTGGCACCCTTCCCTCTGAGGGGTAATCTGCAGCTACCACCTCTCAGCATCCCCCACGTGCCATGGGAAGCACGAGCCATTCACACAGGGGAGGCCACACAGGCAGCAAGGCACCGGAGCAGTGGTCGCCAGATCCTGGGAAAAAATCATGTCTTGGCAGCCTGCGGTAACCATGCTAGCTTGGGGCTTCATCCAGCTTTCGTGGGAGTCAATGGAAAGAGATCCTGGGGTGAACCACATACCTGCACCACAGTTCATGCACAGCAAGAGGGGTTTTTTCACCCTTTAAGCAATACAAAACTGCCAATTTTGAAGTACTGTGGGACTGAATCTAAATATAGAGTAACTGAGTGGCATGTACAATACATTTAGTATAGAAAGAAAAAATCTGTCTGCAGCATTGTTAACTCTAATAAAAAACCAATTTTACAAGAGAAAGGGTATTCTTTAAATTGTAAAATGAGTTACAGTTAGTTTCTACAAAACAGAAATCAACTTCAGAGGGAGTCTTTCTCAAAACCACAAAGCAGCAAATATAAAATTATCACAGTCTGTGTAAGTGGAAACTCTGAGTTCCTGTGAAACTTCATCCCTTCTGTCTTACTGCCATAAGCAGAAACTTTTACTGTCATCCTCGCTGTAATCCTGCCACAACCAGAAACTTTTACTGTTTTTCCGTAGAGTGAATTCTTTCTGGCTAGAAGCATAAATTTTGGCTTTAGCTACCCAAGCGGATTTATCCTAGAGGTGATCACAAAAACGATGTTAAAACAGAGAGCACTGCGGAGTACTCTGCTGGCAGCTGCTTTCAGAAACACTGGACACAACCTACACCAGCCTCATGACACATCACGGCTCTGGCCTCATCGCACCCAGGGAGCAGCAAAGGGCACCCGCCCAGGGGCTGGGGGCAAGGTGCTGTACCAGGGCCCACCTACAAGGTGGCCGTGCTGATGCCAAGGTGTCTGTTACAAGTTATTAGCACTTTTGAGCATGACATCACGAAGCTACTTGAGAAAAATCTGCTTGGATTTGCAGAGGTGAGCAAAGAGCACCCACTTTAAAAGGGCAAAAGGGTTTGATAAGCTTGATAGCAGGGCTGCAGCCAGCCTTGGTCCTTCCCCTTCCCTGGGGAGCCCCAGGGCGCAGACCCAAGAGCAGGGCACAAGTGCACGTGTGGAGGTACGGCACAGCCCGGCTCCCGTGGCACAGGGCACCAAAGTGAAGAGCAGCTCAGGACGAGGAACATGGAAGTTGCTGCTCCGCACTAATCCAGCTCCCAGCCTAAGCAGTGCGCTCCTGCTCCTAGGGGTAGAGCTTTCTGGCTTGTAGAGATTGCTCTGAGAGCTCCTGAAGTCCACATTGCTCATCATAATGAAGATAAAGACCTTCTCAGAGCACAAGACCCATCAGTTTCACAAAAGCCAAATAAATAAAACAAGGCAGACCCAATGGACATCAGAAGACAGCAGCTAATGTGACAGTTGTACTTTTTTCTATACTTCGTGAAGTGAATGTAGTAGGCAGACCAACGCAGACCATTCCCCGCTCCCCCCGGGCACGGCGTGCGGCCGAGCCCCTTCCAGCCCCAGGGCTGGTTCCTCGCTGCAGCTCCACGGGGAGCACCGAACCAGACCTGCTGCCGGTCGGTGTTTGGCTGTGCACAGCCAGCAACCTTTGGGGGATTTTACTGTATCTACAGTGTTTCTGTGCTGGTTTCCTGTAGACCTTTTCTGCATTTAGTTCCTTTACAACTTCTAGAAGAAGCAGGGAAGGCCTGAAAGTCATTAGAGTCAGTGGATTTACACCAGGAATGGATGTGACCCCGTGTGTTTTTCCAGGCTTCGCTACCCTTCACCTGGCCTCCTGGCAATTCTTCTCAGACGCCTGCCTGCTGTGAAGCTCCTACATGACTGAACACTTCAGCAAGATCAGCACTTTCCTTTGTCAACTTGTCAGAAGAAATCAGAATTGAGAATTAGGTCCCAGTCAATCATCAAAGCCAAGAAAACTACTATCTCTGGAAATGAGCTAACATATTAGAAATGTCATTCAGCCTCCTTGGCTCATCTTGGTCTTGAAACAAATGTTATTTGAAAAGCTGTGTCTGGAAACATAGCACAGCCTCTGCCTGCCTCTGCATCAGGCCAGGCGCCTACAAACAATTTAAACACAGCTCCATTGTGCGAGTGGAAAAGACTCTCCTTTTAGTACATTTCTGCTAACTCAGGAGGAAAATCTTCATGGGATGTTCTGGGCTTACCTCCACAGCAGGGTATGCCTCCAGGAGGAGGAAGCAGCAACACAGGAAAAGACCTGCAAGAGACTCAGAGGGAAAGGCTGCACCGAGCCGCTTACTGACACGCACGTCCTGTCCAGCCGCTGCTCGCAGGCTTACGCTCACTTTGGTGCATCAGTGACAAGCTACTGATGATTTCGTAGTTACAGACAAGGGGCTTCCATCCCATTCGAGTACTTTACAGCTTGAGGCTTGCCGTATGAAGGGCAGAGGCAGAACAGAGGCAGAGCAGGGAACTGAGAGGCAGGAACAGAGTGCACGGCACCAGTGGAGCTCCAACACTGTTACCTCCTGGGCCTTTAGAAATGACAAAACGGCCCAATATTCAGGTACTTGGTGTAAACTGGCAACAAAACTTTTCAGTCCAGAAACCTTGTTACAAACACAAAAGGTTTTTTAATTTTAGCTCTGTTAAAATCCCACATTTTCATTGAGATTTAGGGCCTAACTTCTTTCAGTACAAACCATTTACTACGGGTATGAAATAACAACAAGTGACATGCTAACTACAATAAGGCCAGACTACAAGCAGTGCCAGGAGAAAAATAAATAAATAAATAAAACACTTCTGTTTTCAACATTTCTTCCTATGTAACGCAGCCACTTCCCCCGCGTGGTTTGCTGTTGCTCTGCACTCGTGGGAAAGGTGAGAGCACACAACTGCCCGCACGCCAGACCCGCGGCAGCTGGAGCTCCCCACACAGGGCTGGTGAGCGGTTCAGGTGTGAGGGTGGGCAATGCTAAATGGATGGCAGGCAATGAGGCAGACACTGTCTCTGGATAGACAGATTTATCTAGAAGACTCCAGTGCTGGGAAGCAAGGGAAAACCAAGGTGTCTAAGTAGGAATCATGACAAGCCCTAACAGACAGGGTACTCTATGGACTTAAACACATTCATGTTAAAGATAATACACTGGAAAAGAGTAAAAAGCATGACTTACAGTCATTGTCAGGAAGAGTACCATGACTACCAAATTTCTGTACTGTTAAAGCCATCTTAACTGACATATAAATGGACTAACAAACTACAAAACTAAAATTCCAAATCCACAGGTTTTCCATAGAGTAAGGCTGCAGCAGTCAGCCTTACCATAAAGCCTTAAGCAGTTGAAGAGGGAGGTGCTGATTAGCAGAAGCTGCATTGATTCTGACAGGTGCTGATCATTCTCAGCACATTGTTTCTGCCTAAGACCACCTGAGTTGCTTTCAGATAAATTAAGGGGTTTTGAATTCACATGTGGATGTAAAAGTAGCTACTTTGATCTGTTTGTAGTTAGAACAAATTTCAAAACGATATCATAAACTGATGTGATTTATGCAATGGATTTTGCATAGGCAATTTAAGTGCTGACTGCCACGTATGTGGCAAAGACCACAGCAACTACAGGGCTGGGGAGAAAACAAGCACAGAAGAGTGTTGGATGCCTGGGAACATACAGGGAGGAGGCCAAAGTGAGAGGAGTCAAACTTCCTAGTGCTGTGGCCTAAGAAGTTTAGAAGCATGTGATATGCAGCATTCCTCAGTTCCCTGCTGACTATAGCTTCTGTGCAGTATTTCAGCTTTAACACAAAACTACAGCTCATAGTATTGGTGGATAGAAACGTAACAAAGAACAGCGTGTACGTCCAGAAAGACAGTGGAAATTTCCACACTCACTTGTGAAGTCAGTTCAGAACGGAAACGAAGCTGAAACATTCATGCTGTGCAGGCATCCCACAGGACTCCACAGAGCTACTGAGCACACATCATTTGAAAGAACAAACTTGCAAAACATGCAGTGCAAAACTCTTTGTACTTGTGTTCCTGACTTGGGCACACAGACAGTGCTTTTAGGGTAGGTGCACATAAAATCAGATATTTGCACATTCAAACAGTTCCTTACCAACTATCCCTGAACCCCTTAACTCCACAGATCAACCATGCTTTCCTCTTGAACAGCATGAAGTGTAGGACGGTATGGTTCTGAAAGAAAGACGAATCTGATTCTGCCTATTAAACTAAGATTTTCAATAAACCATCACGTACACCA